GGGCCGGGCTGCCGCCGCCCTGCCCTGCCCTCCTGCGCCGAGGCGCGGCGTGGCCTCGCTGGCGTCTCTGAGAGCGTCTTGTACAAGTCCTTTCCTTTCTCCCCTTTTAACCTTTTTTTTTTTAATTATTAAAATTATTTATAAAAACCTTCCACTCGTTTTTCGGCTTTTTTTCTCTCTACAGGTATATATATGTGTGTGTTTTTATCTGTGTGTACATGCGCACTCGCTTTGCTTTGTGCTTCGGTTATTTCAGTTCAGTGTAAAACAGCTGGGTTCTCGCTTTGTAGCATTTCGGTTTTCAGGTCTTCGTTGCTGTAGTGTCTGCATTGCTAACGCTCTGGCGCTGGGAAGTTAAAGTGTTTGCAGTGGAAGTCTGTGCATATCTGTGGAAATACTTGTATTATTTTGTTAAAGCCTCCTTTTAGCAGAAGCTAAAAGGCTACTATTTATTTGCTTTTTCCCACCCTTTCACGAACATAAAAATGCCATAACCCTTTAAATACCCTTCTCCTTAAGAATCCTTTCCTCAGTCTTTCCCACTTCCAGCTGCAGTAACTCTCCTAATTTTCCCAGAAGAGTGAGATGCATTTTTGCTTCCCTTGGAAATGCATAAATGAGCTCTCTATGTACAAATCACAGCTGAGTTCCCCACAGCTAGCGCATTACAGAAGGACCTTATCTTGCAATCTACATTTCCCGCTGTAACAAAGCGTGACCTTGTTTTCATTACATAAAAAAATGTTTTTCATATAATTGCTGTGACTTGTTCTCTCGCATGAATCTCAGCTCATGTTAATAATCGCTGCTTCAATTTTCGGATAACTATTTTTTGTGAGCTGGTGGAAGAACACCAACAGAGTGCTCTTTAGGAGAGTTGCTGCATATAAGTAATGCTGCCGAGGGCATAACAAGGGTTCTGTTGTGCTCTTCCATTGCAGAGCCAAGAAAACCTAGTGTGGCATTTTAGATATTGAATTTAAAGGAACTTAGTAACGCTTGGATGTATCTTTGTTGATATTTAGGTGGCAATTATTTATTTTAAATACTTCTCTTTATTGTGTTGGTTTCCAAGGGATGCGAGGCACCAATAAGTTTCCAGAAAGTAACTTCATAAAAAAACTTTTCTAAAGTAATCTACGTTTAAGTTGGAAGAAGATTTTGCCACAATTATGTGCCCTTTGAAAACGGGTTGGTCATTTTTCTATCTCAGTTGAGTATCAAGTGAGTTGAGTTTTTGAAGTTTCCTAATTGTTAAAACTTTGGCCATCCTGTTCAGCCTAGAGTCAAGAGCTCACACTATCTGCTTCCGTGTCCCATATCTTAAAGTAGCATTCGTGTTTATTATCCATGTCCCTACTCACACAATAAAGTTTTATAATTTTTGAAGACTGAGTTTGGCCTGTGGCCTCACAACATCAGGAAAACTGATTTATGTTTGTAAAGTTCAAGATTTTCACAATTGTTCTTTTTCCAGAAAAGGAGTATAGGTGAGGAGCTTGCTAAGGCATGTAAGTTGCAGTCACAAAAATTAATTATTTTTTCTAAGAATTAATTAGGTACCTGGAGATTAGGAGATTAGGTACCTGGACCCAATTTAAATCCCTTTTTTTCAGGTGTGAGGACCAGCTCCTGTACATGCCAGCCTCTGCATATTTTGCTCACGCTTGATCTCTTGCGCTTGCAGAGGCCATGACTTAGTTATCTCAGGCTAGTCCCCCAGAACATTCTGAATATCAGAAGAGGGGGGTTAATCAGGTTGTTCGGTGGAGGAAGATTATGCATTTATTTATATATTTTTCCTTTAACTTGCCACCATCATCGCTTGCTCTGCTTGCTTCTCCCAGTAAGTCCCTCCCGAGAGGGAACGCTTTGTAGTAAGTAGATCAAGAAAGGGTTGCCAGGACTCAAGGGCTGCTGGCTCTGCAGTTGACTTGCTGTGTAACCTCGTGTGAGTCATTTCCTCTCTCTGTTCACAAGTGAAAACTGGGGGAATATTTATTCCAGAAGGACGCTATGATTTTTCACGTTTTGTGAAACGCCTTGAGACTTCTGGCTAAAAGGTGTTAGGGACAAATGATGTTGGATGTTGTGTGGTGGCTGTAATATTGTTTGAATTGAAGCAATGCCGATAGCTGAAGGGAGAGGGAAGGCATTAAGCTAGACGCGGCACGGCGGTTTGTAAGCGCATTGGGACGGGAGCCATCTTCCTGTTCTGTTGGGACGATGCCTGGCACCGTGGGGTTCTGGCCCGTGACGGAGCCTCCTGTATGTGTTGGCGATGGGAGATGGCAACTTCCCCTACGAACTTGTGGTTTGCGAGAGGAAAAAAACACAAAGAGAATCCTGTGCTAAATATAGTCTGTGTCATTTGTTTTCTCTGTTGTGGCATCTATGTAAATCGCCTCTTTTGTACTGTCTTCCTTTTGACAATAAAGCAAAATCTCAGTGGTTCATTGTTTTTATTTCAGAGGTGGTGCAGAACTCTTGTTCGATGGTGTCAAAAAGCATCAGGTGACTTTGCCCTGTCAACCAGAGCCTTGTGAGTATCAGAACCTGTTGGATAATTTGAAAGAATGACAACAAGTGAAACAAAGCTGGTTTGTACAGCAGTTTCATTAGTTGGCAACAAGAATCAATGTCTTTTAAAAGCGCTTTCAGACATGCTGTGGGTAAGATAGCTTGGCAACGGTTAGTCTTCAAAGTAAATACCAAGCAGAAATAATCTGAGCATCTTTCCTGTCCTGTAAGTGCTTGTGAATTGAGTCCTTCCTTAAGACTTTTGCCTCCCTCTTCCTGGATAGACAACAGCCTCTGAATGTTTCCATCGAGTCTACATTTGTCTTGCGTGATACTTGAAACCACCAATAACCTCCTCTCTCCCTTGTTTTTCCTTGCCTGTTCTGAGGTTTCCAAGAGGCATATATATATGTGTGCGTATGTGTGTAGTGTATAGATACGTGGGTATGCATATAGCAATGTAACATTAATGTATTTTATCTACTCATTTGACTTTCAAGTATATGTAATCATTTTACATTAACTATGCAGTTGAAAATGGCAAAGCTAATGCTCGAATGTGATGCTGGACATCCTGCCTATAGCATTCCCTACAATAAAAAATAGGATGCTGTTAAGCTAAAGGCTTGAGTGTCCCAGTGATAAACAGCCATAATCTCTGGTTTGTGATTTGGAATATCAATACTGAGAAGTGCTGCACTAACTCTCTTGTTTCTCCTTATGTGTGTGCATACTTCAGTTGCAACGTAATTTTGCCACAGGTATGTTTTGAATTCTTCCAGCTAGATAGCAATGCTTTATGCTGTTTGAGAGTGGGATTATAAACCAAAATAATACAAAGCATCAGAGAATGTTAACAACTAATATCTCATGAATGGCTAATACCATAATCTGTGCTGTGAACGTTCAGGCCTGAAATCTTCTTGCTGTGCCTGGAAGTAATTAGAGATTGGTAGAAGGGCTTTTGATGCTTGGACGTAAGTACATGTAATTCAAATATAATAGGAGCACTGGCATAGTGTGTTATCTTGTGGTTAAGGACAGGGACTAGGGATCCAGAAACATGACCTGATGCTGATTTGCTTTGCGAGTTTAGTCATGTTGCTTAGCTTTCCCCTGTTGCTAGTGAAGTAGTAGTGATACTTTAATGTATCACAAGAGAGTTCAGCATTAAATTCCAGCACTGTTAAAGCACTTAAGATCCTTAAATGGAAGATAGTAAAGAAATGCTAAAACACTCATTTACTTGGTTTATAAACTTAGGGGCTAGAGCATAATTTTCTTCAGTGTTCTGTACATTTAAAATACCCCCTGATATCCACCACATTGGTGGTGTTCATACCATGATCAGATGCTCAAAAAGAAGGGATTATTACAGGAGATGTTTATTTCTGCCAGGGGAAGGGTGGGAGTAATATCAATGAATGATTCTTCTAGCCCGATGGTTGTCAGCGGTGCAGTTGTATGTGGCCTAATCCATTCCCACTTAAAGTTGCTGAGAAGACTTCTATACACTTTGCTAGGAGCTGGTTTTATCCTAAAGGATGAATCTTTCCCTGAAGATCTGGCTCAGTCTCCGGGTTCAAACTCATGATCTCCAGTGATCCATTCCAGATTCATCTAACACATTATTGCTCCCAGCTTTTCACGCTGCCTTGTTTTTCAGATGCTGCTATCCCTGTAACGAAAGTGGCAGAATGGACAGTGTGCCCACTTGCCAGCTCCCCAGGTTTGCAGCCTGCTGTTTTCATGTGCATTGAGTGACAGGGAGGTTTCAGTTTTTGGGCAGGTTGTGGATTGCAGCAGCTGAGGAGCAGACACTGAATTGTGAGGCTTCTTCTATAGTGACATTTACATCCAGCACAGGGAATGGGTATGCAGACGTGCGGTTAATGTCTGACAGTAAGGGATCGCTGGAGGCACCCCTCATAATATTTCTGGATGAGAATTATGTTGTAGAAGTGAGGAATCAGTAGAAATGGATCAGAAACATGTGAATAAGAAATTTGGTAAATTCTTGTTATTTTATATTATTCCTAATGCATTGTATTTTCCTCATTCACATTAAGAAAGTTTAATTTACCCTGTCTCTGGGTAAATAAAGATATATGTGGTATGTTCCCTACTGCCCTTGTGCAGCCAGAATTACAATACTTAGAGAAATAAAACAGCTCAGTTCTACTTGGTGCATCTTGTTGCTTACCTTACCCTCTATGTCCATCACTTAATACGCTGAGGAAAGATCTGTAGTATGAACACTGCTTGAAGACCTACACTTCTAACCCCGTTTTAAGTGATTTCATTAGCTGTCAAGCTTATTTTTGGCCATTTTGGCCTCTCTTACCCACTCTTCCTTTCTTCGTAGGTTATTTTTGTCTTTGTCCTCCTTTTTGCAGAGCAGCTGCTTCTCTCTGGGACATTGGGTCCAGCTATATTTTAATTGTTTAGGCATTTTTATATATATATCCTAGAGGTGAGGGGAGGTGGAAAATTATATGAAGAAATACCTACAAATATTTATGTGAATAAAACAAGCTGTGCTCCATAGTTGACAAGGGCAGTGTTCTCTGAATGATCATAATGTTGCTTGAACAAATTATTGTGTGGTCATTTCTTTTTTCCTGGTAACAGGCACTAGGTGCAAAGTAGGTGGGTTCCAGATCCAGTTAACTTTTTCAAGAAGATTTGATCCTCTGTCCCATCTCCGTCTGGAGATGGGCTCCTGAAGGGATTAGGAAAGGCAGGAGGAAGGAAGCTGCAAATGGGACAAGAGCAAGCCACGAGGGATACAGCTGTGTGGCGGGACCTATTTTTATTATCCAAGAGGCTTTTTGTATCCTAAGGTCAGTAAAATAGCAGTTCTTTATTTTCAAAGCGGAGCTGTCTTAGCCTCCATGTTGAAGTTGCTGCCAAGTAGGAACTTAAAAAGGTGTGATATATCTGATAGGCAGGCAGATTTACATAAGCCACGCTTTGTGCAGGACTGTGTAATCTTTTAGAGCTGTTGCGGAAAGATGACCTCAAGTTAAAGAAGAATCTGGTCCCAAATTACTGGCTATTTTGATGATCTCATTGATAATGCTGTTAGAGGATCTAAAGGCATTAATGCCCTGTTGGCTTATTCTGCATAAAAACAGTGTGTGTGGGAGAAAGCAGCTGGGGGAATAACGATATTTGTCACATGGAGAGAGGATTAAATTGGCAGGGAAATCAACTTTATTTTCGAGCATCTAAGAGGCTATTAGAGACAATGGAGCATAAAAGAGAGAAACCCTAAATTAAAAACTGAAAATGTATTTGGCAGCCTCCTCCTGAAACAAGCCACAGTAATTTAACCAAGTGCTTCAGTAATCAAATAGATCATTGTATGACTGCTCTGCAAGTGATGCCGGAGCTGCTTCCTCCATCTCGCTGGGACTCACAGTGGTGGATTTGTCTGTGGCCACGCGAATTGCATGGACGCTGTTGGAAGGGTAGGAAATCACTGGCATTGTTTAACCCTTGTAGTCATTTCAGGTTTAGCTCAGCAGTGTCATGCTGATGAAGAGTGTTTACAAAACCCCTCTGCTGTGCTCTCTACTGGATGTTGTATCCGGAGATTGGGGCTGTTTGTAAAGTCTCTGGCAGTTGTGCTGCAGGCTGCTCAGCTGCAGGTTCACGCCTTCGAATTCCAACTTCTCCTGTGGTTTCAGTGATGGGACTTGTGTTCTTGGAGCAGCAGTGACCAGTTTCAGCAGTGATCGCTTGGACCTTCTGGGGTAATCAAGAATTCACTGAGTGTTTTGGCACTTACAAGTCTGGAAGGATAAATTTTTAATCAGTGTGTTTTGGTAATTGTTTGTGGTTTCCCTTTACCAAAACCCCAGGGAAAAAGCCTGTTGCTAATCAGATTTTTTTTTGAGGGAAAATTAAAATAATCTGCCAAGTGCTGCTTATGTTAAATCCCCGTTGTGAAGAGCATGGTCTGCTCTTTGAAAGCTTTGCTTTCCAGGGGCCTTGTTCTGCACAGCATGGAGGACTGCTGGGGAGTTGGGAGCATTCATCTTCTTAGAAAAGAGGCTGGGGATCTCAAGAGATCAGACCTGTGTTACAGGCAGAGTGCCTTAAAAAATACAGCATGGCGTGTCTTCAGAGTTGACTGGGGTGCTATGCCAAAACAACGTGTAAAATCAAGATTGCAGTTGGCATTGGTTTTCTGTGAATGCCCAGTGCTATTGCTAGATAGTACGTTGTAGTTAAGTTGTTAATATTCTGGAATGCTTTTATTGCTCTGTTTATTATTCCTAACATTTTAAAACTTGCTCCGAAGAAGGCATAAAAATATATTTGGTAATGCAGAGACTTATTAGAAGAATGATAAAAAAACCCACATAGCTCTATGGAATTCCGGGCAGTCAAATCTTTTTAACCACAGTGTATGGTACTCGCAGGTCTCAAAGGACTTTGGGGTTATTCCCCTGCTTGTGCATCTCTCTTAGGCAGGTGATTATGTATTTGCTGGCAAGGAGAGGGGACTCAGTGGGTTACCCAGGGTGGGACCTCAGGCTGGACTAGCTCAGCCCTGGATCCCGCCTGCTCTTTCTAGCAATCCGTGTGAGCAGCCGCGTTTGCAGTGCCGGGAGCCCGGCGTGATGCTGCAGAGCTGCCACCGCCGCCACGATCGAGCAGTCCCTGCCACGTTTGCAGCCCTGGTGCAGGGCTCAGCGCAGCGGCTGCGTGCCGCTGTCCCAGCGAGGCCATGCGTCGCTTCTGCGCAAGGAACGAGTCCTTCAGAGGGAACGGGGAAACAAGCGCACGCCCTCGCAGGAGCAGTCCCAGTACTCTCCCGGGAGGCCACGGAGTCGCGTTACCAGATCAGCTCATCCCAACTCATTGTGGAAGGAGCTTCCCAGGCACCGAGAAACCAGCTCTTGTGTGTGACCAAATCCCTGGGATAACAAAGCCTGGCTGTTCCACCCTTCTTCCCAGCCGCTGTGTTGCAGTGCGGACACCTAGCAGGATAACCTTTCTGTGCCAGCCCCC